CAAAACGCCCGTTAGAATAGATGCTCCGTTATTGCTTAGAAAAAACAAGTGGGAGGTCGAATCAAATGGATGAAACTCTTTTGGGGAAGCAGAGCTGTGGTCATTCACGCCTTAAAGATAATGCCAGCCGAGAGGATATGCCTTACAATTTCTGGACAACGGACAACAGGCCAATAGTATGAATCAATCAAAGACCATGCAGTTCTAACGGAAGTCGTGTGACTCGAAAAACAAGAACGGTGATTGGTTTATACTGCTTTGACCAATAGTATTCTGTTGACTTATACATTAGTCCCGGTGATTATTTTTTCATTAAATGAGCCACTACTTTGTGGTCATTCTCCTGCATCTCGGTAACGAACGATTTCTGCATGTGATTGCCCGTAGGATTCCGTGTTTGATCTGTGATGGCGATACGGTAATCAAATTCGCCTCTATTCCAATCTCTACAGTGCCTCTCAAGAAAATTTAGAAAAAGTCATCCATTTTTAACACGAGTTAACATCGTCTACAACTGTCAAAAAATGAAGCCGGTGATTTAAATCTTTAACGGCTGATCCATTGACGTGGCACATATTTACCTCGGTGACTTTAGAAGTGTAGATGTATGGACAAGATTACTGTTTGAACTGCAAAAAGCCCCAAATGACACTCCAGACTATCGTTGACGAGGACCAAGGGTTGTTGACACTCAAGTGTCATAGATCAATGCCTGAAAAACAATCATCAAGCAGTTGCAATATTTTTCAGCTTCACATAAACAATCGAGCATTCATAATTCTTATCCGCATGTTGTAGGTGCAGTGGGGGACATTTTGTCAGAATTTGCCCACATATTCAAAGTGTCTGTCAAATGGAAAATAAACTTGGACCCAAAGAAACACATTGTGGGTGAAGAAATGTAATTCCATTGCAAATGAAGCAGACCACGCTCGATAACGTGTTGCAACTCGATTTTCCACAGTTATCTCTTTCCACTCAGTGAAAATCCAGTTGTGATGTAATGGGAACAAGGCTGAACCCGAATTTGCAGAGACGTGGTTTCACTCAGCTGGTAAGGAAGCAATATAATATGCTACTTGCGCACCATGTCCATCTCCAGGACTTGCCTGAAACGAATCCATTTGTTTACAGCTACGACATGAAGGATGTTTGCCAGACCGGTATTGATAATTGTGCTTTCTCACTCCAAACGTGATTTTGTTGTGGAGTGAAACGACCGTGGATATTTGTTTGATCCGCTTTCCCTGACGCCGCCGGGGACTTGATGAACAATGGGGGAAAGAACAATGCTTGTTTCAACAACGTCAGTAGAATGCACTGCTGCCCAATTCAAATTCAACTCTACCAAAGGATTAGCTAGTACGGTTATCATCCCACAATAATTTTCTGAATGTCGAATTCGTGGAAATATCATCTGTAGTCAGGTTGACTACTTTATCTATCGGATGTTTCACTCAGACAGAGAGGGGAGCTTCGCGACTATACTATATGAGTTTGGGAGCCATCTGTGAAGTTCGCTTCACTGTGTTACGCTGTATAATGATGACGATGATGAATGGAATGTTTTAGGAAAAGTTCTGCTCTCTCCCCGGCAAATAGAGGCGTGCTTCCTGAATGTCGTCTCTTTGTGACCAAGTCTTTTTGACAGACCGTTTGAAGGTATAACCAAACTCTGACAAAGTGTCCCTCACTGCACATCCAACAGGCGGATGGGATCATCAATGCTTCGTTGTTAATTCTAAAGTTGAATAAAAGCCATTTCAGCCCCATCCACCCTCTGAATCGTGGGTACATCTGAAGAGAAGAAATTGAACCATCTGTTTGTGATAGTGAACACAAGTCGCAGGAGTCGCTTATCGTAATCGGCGTCAATTCTGAATTATCGGGATATATGCCAGTAATTCAAACGTCTGAATTCACTTACTATGGTCAAAGTAACCCATAAGCCGTGATGGAAACCCACACCTGTATGACCGACCTGTTCAAACAATTTGTCATGTTGTCTGCGAATTTCAGTAAATCATTTCACTCGCATTCAGATGCGGCAATCTGGAAGTTTTCTTCAATGCGCGACTAAATCCATACGCATAAGTGAATCAATGATTGTATTGAAGCATTTGTCCATCAGGATAAGCAGATGAACAAAGACTACCGGTGTTCGTCGTGCGTCATTTTGGCGATCGGTTTATTTCGGCGACGAGTGTATGGTGTTCGACGAGCCTTGGAAGGCTCATAAAAAAGTCATTAGTGGTGAGAATTTCCCAAAAGGATTTATTCCACCAAATGAAAGAGTTTCTCACCCGTCGAGATTACTCATTTGGGCAGGAATAAAACACGGTCAGCCTTGTCGGTGGACATCAGTCAAAGGAACCATGAATGGTGGGAAATTTGCTTCAGTAATTACGAAAATGTTTCCAGAATTTCATGAAAAAAATCGTCTGGAAAAGTTATCGTTTTTCAGGATAACGCTCCGTGTCATGTTTCACGAGAGGTTAAGAAATTGATTTAGTTGAGGAGTCTGATTAATTTATTATTTGCTTTTAGACTTCAGAAAAGATGCGTGACTCCAAGGTTTAGTTCATACAACTCCCTCCTAATAGCCCGGATCTCAACGTGATTGAAAATCTGTTTTCTGTTTTGAAAAGAGAGGTCAATGGGCTACCTACACATTGGACAATGGAAGCAAAAGTGCGATACGCAATGGAGCACAAAATAGAAAATGACTTCCTAACAAAGTTGGTGGGTTTGACACCGAAGAGACTCAAAAACGTTCTAAAGAACAAAAACAGACTACTCGACTACTAGTGTACACAAACTTTACATCTTGCTTATTATTAATGTTAATTTGTTGTAAATAAAGTCTGTTCTATCCCCTTAACTTACCTCCTAACTCGTCATGCTGTAGGTCAACCACTACTGATGAAATGGGAGTATCTTGTACATTCTGAGTTATTCCATCTGCTGAGTATAAACGAATCAGGAGAATCACTGCTATAATGACTCAGCAAGGCTTGTTTATTATTATTTGGAAAAAATTTACTCTAGTATAAATACTGTTACCTATAAGAACACACAAGTGTTTCACAGGGACCTGTTGCTTCAGTTTCGATTAGACCTGTACGTAGCGTCACGGAAAAACGAACAAGCAATGCTGAGATTAGGTGCAGAGTTTTAGGTAATCGCGGTCGCCCACTGCAACACCTGGTTGACGGAGGCTTGCATGTCGCCAGGGTGAGATTGCCACGGTGCGCGTTGTTTGCCGAGGCACGTATTGGGTGGGAAAAGTAGAGAGTGGTCATACCGGGACCTGGCATAAGGGTATGAAAACCTTGAATTAGGAGACTTGCTGAGCTGTGTCACATAATGCTTCCTGGACCGATGCTTCGATGCTGAATGACACGGCTGAGTTCCGTAAATAGTGGCGTTCGTGCAACTACCCAGGACCTTTGCAACATCGTCGTCTTCGTGAACTCTCTCAACTCATTCTGAAACCGTCTTCAAAAATAGAGTACACGTTTATTGGGTGTAGGACTGAAAGCTGATTTATTCGTCAGTTACGCCAACGGGCGTTTTGCCGGGACAACTAGAGGAAGAGAAACGCACCCCTCTCAAAAAACTCGGCTCAGTCTACAGATTCACGCAATCGTGCTAAGTAAGAACTCGTCATCTATCGCACTGTCATCAGAGTGCAATTCTAAACTCATCCACAACCGACCACCGATTCATCATGACCACTAGGAAAGCCCTCCAAATGATATCGCGGTGATCGACAGCTTCGCAGCTACCTTACACAAATCCCCTCATCTTATAAAATAATGCGCCTCCAACAATTCCAGCCAATAACGTACCCGATGTGGCTAAATATCAGATTAATGGAATTGGCTATTACTCTCGTCCCATACGTCGTTGATCCGACAGAGTCAACTAAAGCATGGTTGTCTTAATTTTCATTCAATCCAAAACTTCTGAAGATTGGGTCAATCTGAATAACGAGATTGATAAACAAAACAATCGTTGGATGGAAACACTCGTCCACTCGGTGTACACGGGATCACCACATGTCGTCCCTCCACTGCCTGTATTGGCCACGGCGAGCTTTCCTCGTCCAATACAAATCCACATCCACAACACCACATGAACAGCGTTGGAAGTCACGAAATTTTGAACAGGTCCAGTCCACGTTTCGTAGAAATAGATCTCACATTTCGTTTATCCAGAGAGTGAGCCACCTATCTGCCCAAGCGAGCCAGTTGCTTCTCAGCGAATCTGACATTCGATCACTTTCCCCTCCCCTCGTTCAAACATCTGCCCAAGACCCCGAAAAGTCATTGTATTCTTCTCGCACAATATCTCACTCTCTCTCTCGCTCCACACAAAAAACGGTATTATACGTAGGAACGGTGACGAAAATAATCGCACTTATCTGCTTTCTCTGAATTGGGAGAGGTGCTACCTCAAGGTTGCACTTCACACCATCTGCCGTGAACATTTCACCAAAGTATGCAATTATAAGCTCTTTCTGAACCCTCGCAAGAAACATTTCTCGATGCACAAATAAGTCCCAAATGTCAATCGCGGACAGTACACAACGCTTTTCCTACTGATCAAACCTGTTCCACAGCGATGTTCACATGGACAGCGGAACGCGCAATCAGCTCCAAGAGAAAAAAGAGAAATCTCGGGTCGAATCATAGCATGGATATTGAAAATCAATTAAAACAGTACAGTACGTTAACTGTAAGAATCTATGGAAAGACAGATCGATATGGCAACTTGATCAAAAAGAAATTTGAATGCATCCTCTGTGTGTCTCAACTAGAGAGGAACACATTTGGAGCGGGGTGAGATTTATTGAAAAGCGCGATGTACGCAATGAGAGATGGAGTAAAACGCAGAGGCACCGCAGCGTTATGCAGCCACATTTGCAGGGCACCGGTAGGCGGCTGTTATATTGTCTAACACAAATGAAGATAATTTCAACAACAACAACAGAAATCCTAATCACCTAATCGTAGTAAGGTGAATTTGTCGGACGAACGTGTCAAACCAGTCTTCATAATTTTCCGATTCATCTTTTCAAACAAATCGTCGTAGTTCCGCCATGGGAAATCGTCTCCCTTAATAGTGATGGTCAAGCGTGCGTGCACAGACGAAGACGCATTGAGCAATTCAATCCGCACGATCACGTAGCTATATGCGAAGGATCCTTCCGGTAAAGCTGGAAACGCTTCGTCCATCTGAAGAGTTGATTAGAAACGAAATAAGAAAATTCACGCTTTCGGCATTCAGGTTGTCGTAATCGAGCATCAAAACGACTGATCTTAAGCGGAAGTGACCAAAAAGAGAGTTTACAGAGTAGTGTGACTGATGGTACGAGATAATCACATTTCCCCGCATCATGTTCCACGTTGAAGCAAACATTACCACAGCTCCTTCTCCCAATTACAACTCGCCGTCAACTATCCTTTCACACACTCCCTCTCAGACACTCATTCTCCCCCACACGCAAGTACACACTCAAACACGCACTTGAAAGCAAACTGGAAACAACTCACTAGTCAAACCAACACACACAACAGATCTCTACGGATTACAACTTACCATTTCTTTCAAGTGCTCAACGATAACTTTGCTTGATGAACTCGTGGGATCACCATATTCGTCATCCCATCGAACAGTTTGTTTGTTTCTGTACACACGCCCGTGTAAGTACAATTCTATGGGAGGAGAACAACACCACTGTTTCAGTGGTAAGTCGATTAGGCATATAAACAAATAAACCGCAAGCCGACACGGTCAGCATCGAAATATGGTCGGGTCATCATTCTACCTGTAAGTTTCCCTTCTAGACCGGTCTTTGCAATAACCCGATGCGTAGTCACGTTCAGTCACACAATCCCAACCCAGTTCGACCACATTCCGAATTCCGTTTCCTATCTTCATTCGGTTTGATACGGGAAGTCGTGCCTCAGCACAATGTATCTATAGAGAAAACAGCATGCGTAATCGCTCCTTATTTGCTGTAGCATTCAAACACCAGAGAATATGGAGTAGTCATAGGCTCATCGAACTGTTTAATCAGGTAGAATTCCAAATTAGAACTTGTTGTGCTGTCCAAAGTGCCGAACCTGTGCTAGGCTACAAGCCCGTCTGTCTGCAGTACTTAAGTTCGTGAGTTCTAAACCTCTGCATGCACAACGGGCCGTGTGACCCGTGTTCCGCAATTCGGTCGTGATCTCCTCCACCAGTTGCGTCCGTGTTCTATATCTAATCAACAGAGTTTAACATATGCACTGAATCTGAAAATCTCTCTATCAGTTACAGTGAAACCTCACCGTTTGCAATAGAAACAAATCACAGTCGCAGAAAACCACAGATTGCTGCCCTCGGCACCGAGTGTATTCTGTGCCAAAGATAACTAGGACAAGTTCAAACAACGGAACCGGAAGTACATACGAACCGTTGTCCGTAGATTATATATGCTGTCAAAGGACAGAATCACACGCAAGCACTGAAACTTCCAAAGGAACTTACCAGTTCCAGTCAATTCTGCAAAGGGAGTGAAGAACGTTGATGCGGTAAATCAGAACCACTGCCGGAAAGTCTCCGTACAGATGACAAGATCATGCCTAAATTGCCCCGATCTACAAACCGAAAGACTGGTGACTGTTTGTCAGATACACTTATTTGGAATCAATTTGATATATGCCGTACCCGGGGTAGGATAGCCCGCGAACCTCCCGACCGCATCCCCACCCCATAGGTACACTTTCGGATTAGCTCCCCTCTTACATGCACCATGACCATCACACCTGACTCGTAATCGAGACGGCAACTAAATGTAAAGCCGAAATAAGGAATTCCATCCAATTATCTCTAGTTCGAACGAAAATGTTATACACTCAACTCTGTTTGCAGATGCGTTTGATAGACATCCCGAGTTGCAATCCGACGCAGTAACTGGCAACCGTAGTGACTCAGTGGTGGACAGAATGGTATAAGCGACGGTCTCGCTTACGTCACTCCTGATGACAAGTGATTACCAATCAAACGTGGTGTGATGCGGGACGCTGACCTGGTAACGAGAAATGGAGAATTGTCGCCTTTCGTGAGATCAATGTCAACCAGACCGTGCAATAGGTCCCGATCACAAAGTCAAATTTTTATTATGGGCGATTTAACAGAGCTAAAGCTTATCATGCTCCATAGAATTTTTACCGATTATTTTGAATAACTTTACAAAGAGAAAATGATAATAATTTGCATGATCACTCACAGATGTCGAACTGTTAAGTGTCCCAATGCTTTATCAAGTTGCGATTAAAATAGTTCAACTGTAGAAGGACACAGTACATCGGATGGAAGAGAATTACATAGGCCGCACATTGACTGCAAACCACTGATGCCGGAAATCAAGGTGGCTGCTCCGGGTGTTTACCTTGAGGTGATCATTATGAGATAAAGTCAGCACAGAACGCCAAGAGTGGTTGGGTGGATGCAATATGTGATATGCCAAGATTAGCTCCCACCGAAGTCGGCGGTATTGAAATGAGTAGAGTGCCCATATTTGCAGTCTTTCGGATTATGTCTTGTTATACAAACCGTTTACCAATTTCGTTGCTAGCCTTTGAGGACGTTCTAGGGCCTTCTTGTCGCGATCCAATCACGGATTCCATACTTGAACGGCGTACTCCATGCGTGGCCGAACGAACGCTGATAGCAAGCGTGGGAACAGTGCTCTTCCGAACTGCCCGAAAATACGTCTGAGTAGTTCAACTTGCTTTAGAGTCATGGATAATGCTCTGGCACATCCTACATCCTCCTGTACCATAACTCCCAGATCCATTTCACCAGTGGAATGTGGTAGTATTTGGTTCCCCAGAACATAGGAGAAACGAGTCTTGTGCCGCATGGAAATAATTCTGGATTTGGAAACGTTGAACTCCATGTCATTGACGACTGACCATCAGTGGGCTGCATTGATCATTTGTTGGAGTGCTACATAATCCTCTGGATGTGTTACAGTTCTTCAGCGTCATCCGAAAATAGTAAATAGCAAATAGTATTAGGCCCAAGGATATGTGGCAGGTCGTTTATAAATGCCCCAGTACGGATTATTGAGGAACCCCTCGGGCAGCGGTGATAGGCTCTGATAATGAATCACCAACACGAAGTGACATGGTCCTTTATTGGAGAAACCTCTTGATACAGTCCATAATCAAACCTCTAACTCCGTAGTTGTAGAATTTTACTCGATCACATGCCTTGAAGAAGTCCAAATAAACTATATCCAATGGCTGGCCTGCATCGCCGGATTTGGTCCACTCATGCCGTGCAAGGAGTAGATTTGTGTTGCACGAACGCTTGTGCCGAAATCCGTGCTGAGTTGGAGACAAAAGCTCATGCTTCACACATCGTGGCATGATATTTAAAACGGACGGAAACAACTAAAAGCCGGGCATAAACGGATTGTACATCGTACAAAGCTTTCAGGGAAAGGTCAGAGCAGATTGCTATGTGTATGGCCACCTCGAACTCATGGGAGATGAAAACGGTGCATCAATTGAACGTTTCAATTCGAAAGATACAAAAATCACTAGAGGTGGTCGGCCACGTGGATGGAATAGAAGAAGCGGAGAAGGTGCATAGCTCTAACAACTTGACTAACAGAGAGACTTCCGTTGCGAATCGAAACTCATGTAGCTTGGAAAAAACGGATGCAATTTAGTCCACGAAAATAAATTTCATTTTGATTTACTCGACGTGAGCAACTACTACTTGTGGTATGATCTGCCGATTGTCGATCGAAACCGCGCGTCAATGTGTGAGTCTTATCACCGGGAATGGCCCAGTCGAACTCCCTAGATCCCGATGCATACACTCGGGCAGCGAATGGTAATGAGATGGTAATGAGATCAAATGATCACTCCATAGGCCGTTGTCCCGTATAACATCAACATGGTTCACTACTCGTATCGAGCAAAATGCACAGTATTATTTCGTGGCATTCAAACTATGATGTGGACCGCGAGTAGCTCACATTGGCAACCGATAGAATACATTTGGGCTATTCATATTGGAACGGTGCACCAACACTGCCGGGTTGATTTAGAGGCAATAAATTGCTTCCAGTGGGTAAAGTTCATGGAGAAGGGACTCCCATACTTTCGTCGTGCTGAAAACTCCATTTTTTCGACATTTTCTTTGAAATTATGCATAATTTGATGAAACTTCACATTTTGGCTATTCACTTAGTTTACATTCCTAAAGATGGTGATAGCTTATTAACACTATATTGAATTTTCAACGCCATTTCCCTGATTCATGCAAATGCCCTAATGGGTTTTATTGCCCGCTATTACGAGATCCCATACGACCTCGAATATGGCACAATTTACGCTGAGTCGTAGCGTGCGCTTGCTCGCTTTGTGATCTTGTTGCTGAAGGTCACATAAAACTCTCAACGCTCGTTATCGGCTTCGTTCTCAATCCGGTCTCACTTTGAGAAACCGCGCAATAAGTTTTACCGACTGAACTGGTAACGCAGCCATACAAAGGCTGCCTGGGAAGACGGGCGGTGGTGGAACGGTTCGAACACGGGACTCACAGGTCACACGTTGGCCACCGGTGAGACTCATTCGTATCACTTTGCGTATCAGTCACTCATTTGGGGAAATGAAAACCAAGATAGTCAAATGAAAATCTAACGACGCGACTATTGAAACAAACAACAGCCACGTAATTCAAAAACTCACGCGAAATCTGTAAGCTGGATTGTAAAATGAGATCTTCTATGTCCATCCATTTGGCCCAAAAGGAATCGTTGCATTTATAATGCGCACTTAATTTGAGCTCATATCTCGTCGATTGTCCTGAAAGCGGTCTGGCAAGGAAGCGTCTGGCAAACGGTTCTAATGTCACATGTTGGTAGATGCGATCCATCTGTGGAAGGCAATTTCACACACACGAATGAATGTGACACCGTTGCTTGGGAACGGTGACTCATTTACAATTTAGCAGTGATATAACATCAAATTAGTTAGGTAGACTACGATCACAACCATGCAAACCAATCAGCCATTTGAAGACAGTGTGAGACCGCGTCGTCCCTCTTTGGTGCTGATCAGAGTAACATTTCAACCAGAATCACAATTTGGCTCGTTTCGTTCATCTGGATTGCCAAGCAATTCCTATCTGCCGCCACCGAATGCTCGGTTGAACAATCATCACCTTTCGCCACGTGTCATCCATGCATGCTTCCCGGGACGCACAGTGTTTCAAGATGAACCTGGATCCATCAGCACATATTATCACTTTCCGCCACACTTCTCCCAATCTCGGATACCTATGCACTGCCCAATGTAGTCTCAATCTTCGGGTGGACATGTAATCATGCAACTACTTGTGATGCCCCAGTATCATTCAAATCGTGTCGATTCAAGCTAGGGGTGACAGTTCGAACTCAAGCAATGTAATGACCCAACTTGTATGGTGTTGCCTCTGAAAAAGAGTGGTAGATATTCACCAGCTTGCACGATCTCCAAGATCAAGATTGGATCATCGGATGATTAGAGAACTGTAATGACATTATTTTCCTCCCCCCGCCCTATTTTGTTTTGTTTGTCCTCGGGTTCGAGAACTGGTATGACCTCGATTTTGGCACAATTTCCGGTAAGTTGTATCGTGCGCTTTGCCCGCTGTACACTTTCCGTTGCAGGTCACATTATACTACATACGCTCAATTCGCACTTGCTCTGGGGTTCGTTCGATAAGCCCGATTGATTGGATTTGTAGACGTGTGTCGAATTCGGCCCTACTTAGTGTGCTAAAGAACCGGATACTGCAAGTAAATGACGTGCGTTGCTACGCAACTCACGGCACCTTTCTGGGTCACTCACAAAATCGCGGATTTATATATTCATAAGTGTCTATGATTTCTGTACTCACCTGAGAACCTTGTTTTTTCTCGCATCCATGAAATTCCCCTATTAAGACCGAATTCCAACCGCGACGCCAGGCAGAGTATTTTTAGGGTCTGTGACCCAACACAAGAAATCAGAACACATAAGAGGGAGTACTGTTCGGAATCGGGTTAACGATTTAATGAGTAATCGTGAGAGTACATCAATCGATTAAACGATGACCGACAATTAGTTCGAGCTGGCGCTTGGACAAAACGGATTGGAGGAGTATCAGTCAGTGTCATCAACAGCTTTGTCACGTGATTGGACGATCAATGAGAACTGATAGACGAATGCATACTTAGCACTCTTCTCCCAGCGTCCCTTCTATTTTGAATTGTTTCACTGCTATTGATTTAGCTCGTGGCACGCCCTGAAAACCGTTTTCGCAGCGTCTCGTCACACGGAACCTGCTGTGTAATTCCGTTGATCTCATTCTTTGTTCAAAATTGGCCTTCTATTTGGTAATCGCAATCACAATTCAAAATGGAACTGAAAGGCTTCTTTATTACACACCTGTGTGCGATGAACAACTTACGGGTTGGATCCCGTGGTCACGAAAACATGCTGTTCAGTAATAGGAACCGGTCACATAAGCCCCGCGGGATTTGAAATGGTAAACCGCATAAGACCGCGCTAGTTTGGGCGTGGTATTGAACCGGTCGGCTCCAACCTCGAACCATAGGTCACGATAGCACACCGGTGACCACTGCCTCCTCTCTGTCTCACGTTCTCCGTTTCTGGCTCCCAGCCCCAACGCTTGGGCTGCTAGGTTCAAATACTCACGTTGAGAATACAAATAATGAGATCAACCCTGAGCATTGAATTTCGGTGTGGTGACTAGCATTTCCCTCATCCCTCAATTCTCCCACTCGAGCCGTCCGACTTCAATTCCGCCTGGCGTGAAACGATTGTATTGTTTTTACAAAATGCGTCCCTGGACCTGATACTCTCACCTTAAATCAACAATAAACCGACTGACTCACCAGAAACGACAATTCATCAGCAATGAATTCCATCCCTGGAGTAGACTGATCGGTTAACGGTTTCCCTCTGCAGCACACAGAGCCTTGAAGGGATTCTGTTCGAACACATGAGGGATGGGTGGGGATAAATTAAAATGTGACGTGCATGGATAATTGAGCAACTGAAGCAATGCCAACAGGTCACACATGGACAGATTGACAAGGTAAACTTGTGGTTGAAACAATAGTATTAATGGTATAGATCATTCAGTTTGATTTTCTAACCTGCAGTATCTAATCCATGAGTAGCTGTTGTATGCGTTTGATAAAATTTCACAGCACCCCCCACCTGCCTTCTCAGGGAAGGCAGGTGCAGGAAAATACTTAAATCCAGCATAATTCCATGCTGAGAAGACTTGACTTGGTTTGTAACGAACACGCCCTTAACAGACGTCCAAGTCAGACACGTTTGACTATGAGATGAACATTGTGTACGAGATCGGCGGACAGAGAGGGGTCCGTTCTCAGCTGGAAGGAAATTTAATTTTACCCAACCAAATTCACCGACAGATTTATCATCCTACTCCGGTTCACCTGTGTATCTGTATTAGAGATCTATTCTCACCTTTGGCCTGAGAATGGTCAACCGGCACACGGTTGATGGTGTCGGCGAGTGTTCCGAGCCGGAAATGTCATTTGTCGACGTTTCGTATAGCTAGACTAAATGACGACATCGGTCTGAATTCGAGGAAGCGATAGTCCAGAGTGCAACTCCTGATCAAAGTTTTTTGACTAGCCGTGAGTCTCTGTTCAATTCTAATGATCACTTCCGGCAACCGACTGCTATGGAAATCACCTCTCTGTTTTCATGACAATCTGCTCTCTTTTGTTTCGTTAATTCTCTGCATTGACTACGAAGCGTCTGCAAACAACACTTCCAACTAGTATAACCCCGTCACAACAGCAACATCCGCTGGTGAATGACCATGGTGTCAACGCAACGATCAGAACCGCAGATAATGGATGGTTTGCGATGCAAAAATTGTGAGATGTGGAACAAACAGTTATGGTTGTTTCACCTTACACCTTTTGATATCTTGTTTTATTTTTTTCTGCATGGGGCACGGGATTTAAACGGGTATACCGCACACCATTCGCGCTACTGGCGTCTATTCTGAGCCATACCTTTCACGGTCTCCAGCCAAGGACAATTTCCAGCTGTTGAGCTCCAAGACGGAAGGCGGGTTGCACCAACAGAGACCAATTTTGGAGCTACCTTCTTACCTCTACGTTGTGACCGCCGCGACGCCTCTTCCAGCCTAGCCCAGCATGTGCAAATAGACCACGTAAAGGTAGACGATGGACAAGCATACACAGGCCATCGGAGGGGGTACAATGCGCTCACTTCTAAAGAACGATCGTCTACACCCAACACGTGTAGGACGGATTTCGCTAAGGTTCTCTTCATGTTCCCTTCAGACACGAGCAATGTTTTGAAGATATCGGTGGTGGAACACAGAACGTTGATAAGCATACTCAACGCGGAACGATCAAGTCTCATAGCCAAAAAGCAGAAAATTAGTAACCACGGTGATGCACACTCTTCCATTAAGGGGAAATCTGACATCGGGGCGGTGCCAAAGGTGTCGCATATTGGCTCTTGTTTTCGCTATTCGTGACCCGATCTCCTTTTCCCAATACCATCACCAGCTTCTATCAAGCTCCAAAGGTACTTAAAGCTATTGACTACCTCCAGCTGATCACCACAAAGGGTGAGTGTAGCCACATACCTCCCAAGCTGCAAACAGTCAACACTGTTGTTCTACCACATGAGAGAGACACCACCGAGATGCCAACCACCAGAAACATGCCTGCATTCATTTCACATTTGGATTTCGTTCTGTCACCATGTCTACCGCTGCAGTGTTACGTTTGTGTAGGTGTTTTTTTTTAAAGCGTACCAGAAACGTGACCATTACAGAAATATCCAGATGCTGAATTGAGAAAAACATGACAAACGATGGGATTTGCTCACCTCTGGTCACTTGCACATCCGATAAATGAAAACCCACGTTCCCCAATGTTATACCGTGAGACTGAAATTGAAAGCAAAGACGAGGAGTGAGTGCACGCGAAATCGACACGAAATTTCAGATTGGGTCAAACACTCGCACCGATCGTCCCAGACTTAAGGTTACACGCTCCATTCGAATTGTATATCACACGAAACACGTAAGCGCGAACAAAACACATTGACGGAGACAATCAAAACACGTGCACTATCACCTCGATTCAATCGACAAGGTCGAAAAGCACAAACTGCCAATCCAACAGGGGGAATTCCACGTGTACAGAGCAAATAAGGCGTGGACTGAAAAGATAGAAAGCGCCTGAGCGCTGTTTCGACCTGGTTGGGTCTCATCCGCGCAGTGCACGAATCCATCGACCGAACTGGGCGTCGAACCCGGAGAAGTCATCACAGGCGGAACGCAGTCATGCTACCCACTCGATTGAATGCTAGCTAACAAGAAGAAAATTTCACAAGTCGTATTCGTTCTTCAAAAAATCCCAGTCCCGAGCATCAAATTAGCAGACCTCTGAAGGTGACCACCGGTTCTTCCCATTGAAACATTGATATTAGTATAGCCGAGATCACCAGTTCGGCTAGAATTTAATAAACTACATTTATGGCGTATCTGGTGGTAGACCTGATCGCCAGTCACCCCAGGTAAACTTTTTATTTCGTTGACTTTCTTCAATAAATTTTACATGGAAAATTTTCCTGTTAAATATACAACTCAAAAATGTATAATATGCATGGGTCAACATTATATCTATTTACCTCTGTTTAGATGTCCAATCATTTATGTGCGCTGAATGTCACACCCGTCGTGGATGCGGTCATTTTTATCACAATTTGAAGGAGGATATCGTGTTGAATATCTGTAAGACCGAAAATTATTGGCAAAAAATCGTGATTGTCTGCGGTCACGTTATGAAGCCTCAGGAATCGCCGAAGGTACTCGATGGATTTCTTTTTCGCTGCTATCGGATTTATCAACCAGGCGACAGGAGTCCACACTAGCAACGTGGAAGGTTACTGGAGCCGGTTAAAGAGGAGACTGAGGGCAGTTTCCAGCTCCGTTGGTGATAGGAAGTGGGAACATCTGGACGAAGTTCAGTACCGCTACTGGTTTCACTTTTCGTCCTATTGATATTTTACTCTTATTCTTTTTAATACATTTTTATAAGCGGCTTCTCGTCTTTTATTCATCGAAATGGCATATCCGCCAGATCATGCTACTCATGAGTAGTCAGTTTACTATTGTGATTTTAGCCTGGGAGTGACTGCCGATCAGGTCTATCTGGTTGTAGACAACAGGAGACAACCGACAATCGTGTGAATCTGTACGCTGTCGGTTCTTGGGTGAAATGTTTTGACTTCAAAAGCACTAGACCTATCGAGCACCCGTATTCCCGGGTAACAGATGCTCTCATCTGATGGTAAAACGATGTGCCCCGTGCGCTGTCTCGTGATGCAATGAAACAGTAAGCAACGTTGAGTAATCAGTCATGAGTACAATATAACAACATAACAATCAGCCTACCAAGCTGATTGACATGAAACTGTGGCGAGTAAGCGAGTAAGTATCGCAATTGTAATCTCCCCGTCAACGCATTTGTTAATTTCTGCTACGACCAGCAAGCAACTAATGCCTAAAAAGACCAATGGATTTACCGGAATGGAATATCAACTATTAAGAAAGACGCAGAATATCACCAAACCGGACAATGACACCAAGACATGGATAGCTCTACAGAACTGTGACTTACCACCTTGTCTTTGTGAGCGGCGTTCGCGTAACCACTGGAACCGATAACGTACATGACCGTAACCAGAACGGAATATGACAAACACTGTGCGGTGTGCCAGAACCCTGTCCAATAAAGATGACCGAAGGACCAATGGGAATCCAAAATTCGGAAGCCAATCATCTTTTGAGATCGGAAAGTGCTGACCAATGGTAGTACAATCCCGACATCCTGCTCTCCTTATTCGCACAGATGTACAGAAGACGATTCACGTGGCTGAATGTGCGTGTGCGTTGTGATCCTGCATTGCCGGACCAAAATGCAATTTGAATTTTCCACACACGAATTCGCTTCACGGGGTTTGAACCAACCGATTGATCAGGTGACACATTCCTCGTGTTCTGTGATGAAACAATCTAAGCGACTGACGATTAACTACCATTATAGTAGCTCTTTGAATTGGTAAAACGTAAACAGCGTTCCCAATTGACCCGAATGACTGGGTAGCATAGCCATAGCGAATACAGTGTATCTTAATCCAGCACCGGGCAGCTAACCAGGCCACCTTTTACCCATTTTCGCGCTATGGCAAAACAACCTGGTGCCCCTTTCGGTTCGTACTGCACGAATGAGACTCGACCAGATCAAAATTGTTGCATAGTGCTTCCCTACTTTTCAGTTCTCGCCTCATTTACCCCAGACACGACGAAATCCACTCTCTGATTGAATCAAATCTTACACTGATCTCATATGAGAAGAAGTGAAGTTAGATTGTTCCCAAGCAAGTCATAACCCCAGGGGGGGGGGACTGTGTTAAGATGCGCGAGGTAACGATGCCCCCAACAAGTTCACAAAGATGGGTTGTTCTATATCGCAGTACAGGCAACATGAAAAACGGTTTGATCAACTGCTTGGTAGCCGATTGGGTAGTATACCTGCCTTCCCACTTTGAGGGGTAGTAAGTTCGATCCCCATTTGTGTCGCGCTGCTGATCGGACCCAATTAAAGGCAATACTTGTTGTTGAAGTAAAAAATGATCATTCTAAGAGTGAATATTCAGTAATTTTCACGAGATACTGCCTAATTAGTGAAGAACATAAAACAAAGAGAAAAAACAAAACGATAGCACACTGAGAGCTTATGATGTGCGAGAGTACCGAGGTTTGGCACAGATTTAAGAATTTCATTATGCAATTAGCGATCTGCGTTGGTCAACCAATTTTTACATGCATTGATGAGTTCACATAGCATAAAATCAACCAGGACAATTCTTGACTAGACCCCTATATCGGAAAAGCGGTTTGGTGGAAAGAACACGGGGGAACAGTTCAATCAATGTGGAAGGTTTCATAAAACCACAAAAATTTTGAAAATTGCACTCGGGACGCAGAAAACTCTATACCTGAAAACTTAAAAAGACAACGCTCGCCAATTTCTTAAACGCCCGCTCATTAAAATTCTGAGGGATGACCTAAAGAAGTGGCGGATGGGGAAATGTAGAGAAATGGAAAAAGCATTTATAACTCACAATTACTTGTGAGTAGCAATGTGGGATAGTTGATACTGATTGATTGATTGATTGGAACTGACCATCCTCGGGAGAATTAACCTTCACGCAAATCCCTCAGCTGTTCCAGACAACCATACACTGGGAAGCGCTAAACTCAAATTTCGCTCTAATTAGAGCTCATCAGTAGTATATGTTCACCGTCCCGTCCGGGAGTTGAAGAGCTGAGGAATGTGCATGAAGTTGAAGTCTGAAAAATGGTCACATCTAATCCATAGATCAATATCAATTATCCCACAACACTACTCACTAAAAATTGTGAGTTAAATCCGAAATTTTGTGGTCAGATAGCCCGTAACCTACATGGAAGAACTGACTAGGTGGAAGCCTTTCGATTGGAGTTAACAGGTTGTCATCTGTGTCTCCCTTCATTGCCATCGGGCAAAAGTGATTTAACTATCTCTGAACTCGGTTCAGTCATGGCACGAACTAGTTGGCACAGTGGTAACACACACGACTTCCATGCGATGGGTCCGGAGTTCAAATCCCGGACGGGACGAGGGATATGCACTACTGATGAACTCTAATACGGGCGAAACTCGAGTCTAGTGCTTCCGAGTGTATGGTTGACTGGAGGAATGTGCGTGAAGATGAAATCTGAGGAATGGTCAGTCCCAATCAGTCAATCAAAATGGCAAAAGCTTCGACTATCGGTAACAATGAAAATCTTTTCAGTTTAAAAATGATTACA